CAGTGCTTGCCTTGCATGTGTGACACCATGGGTTTAATTCCTAATACTGGGAGTTAAAAAAAATAAATAAAAAGTAACAGTTTTATCGAGATCCAGGTCATATCTATGGATCATTTAGTCATTTAAAAATAGAGTACATTGGGGCTGGGGCTATGGCTCAGTAGTAGAGCACTTGCATCGCATGTGTGAGGCACTGGGTTTGATCCTCAACACCACATAAAAATAAATAAAGATACTGTATCCATCTACAACTAAAAAACAAATTTTAAAAAAATAGAGTACATTGACAGACCAGTTACATCGTTTCCATTTTGCAAAGAAGACAAAATGATCAGTCCAAATCAGTTTCTCCCTTAAACCTTCCTTAACCACAAAGGACTACACTAACGCCTAGTGCCCATGGGTCATTTGTTACTCAGGGATAGCCTTGCCATCTTTTCTTCCTTTATTCTTGAAGTCATCATTCCAGATTATTTAAACTACATTTTTATTGAAATTGTCCTAAGTACGGATATAGGTTGAGTAAATTTTTCTGTAAGAGACCAGAAATAAAAATATTCCAAATGTACGCCAGACATTTGGTCTCCATTCCAAGTATTCAATCCTGCTATTGTAATTCAAAAGCTGCCACAGACTATTCTGATAAAACTTTATGGGTCCTGAAATATGAATTTTAAAAATTGAATTAACTTAACTTTTTTGTGGTCCTGGACATTTAACATAAGGCGCTTTACCAGGTCTATGTTTCCAGATAGGGTCTCAGTAAACTGAACTTGGTATCCTCCTGCCTCAGAATCCTGGATTGTGTTACAGGTGTGCACCACCATGCCTGGCTCGAAATCTGAATGTCATATAATTTTCACACCTTACAAAATATTTTTTTCAGCCATTTAAAAATATAAAACTCACTCTTCACTGGAGGGTCATAGAGAAAAACAAATGGCAGGCCAGATTTGGCCCCTCAGCCGTGGCTTGCTAATTCTGGCCTAGATTACCAAAATTGTGTCAACAAACAACTTTGCATTCCTTACAAGGTCTCCAGCAGTAAATGTCAGTGGATTGATCTCATTATCTCTTTCCTTCCATTCCAGAGGACACAGGATATCTTTGAAATACTTAGGCATCTAGTTAACATATCAAACTAACAGGTTTAACTAGTTGTTCCAAGGGAAATATGAAAACCCCTGCATTAAGATTCTCTTTCTGGAAGAAAAGTAACATCTATAAATATGTGAGCATGGGGATGTGGGAACTCAACTGGCAGAGTACATCTACTACAGTTTTTGTTGGCTAAAACAACTGGACAAAATTACAGTCCCTAAGTTCTCCATGGGCACTACCTCCCAACAAAATAAGGGATCAACTTGGAGTTATACCATTTGAAAGTCCTTTTGTAGAGGATTTTCCTCCACAATATTTTCCTCTGCAAAGGGAAAGTCAATACAACAAAGCAGCTTAAACATCCTTTATGGGAGAAGGCAGACAGCAAAATCCAGAACTGTAGGCCTAGACTTCATAGCCACCAGTCTTGTATTTTCAAGAAATGTCTTTGACTAGAGTTTTATTTTACTAGTTAGTTTGGAACTAAGTTTATCTTTGTGATTTAAAAAAAATCCAAGACCTTATCCACTATTTAATTCCTGACAAAGAATTCTGTCTTAGGGGAGAATCTTATAGAATTTAGATACTGTAAGTTCCTAAAATAGTTCCAATAAAAAGAAATGTCATATGTTCACTTCATTTAAAGAATTATAGAAGTTGGCACAGAAACCACAGGTATAGTATACGGGACATGTGCCACACATTTGAGGGCCATTATATATCAGGAAGCCAGGATCAATAAAAATGTTAATTCCTACTCCTGATAACCAACTCATAAATCAATCATAAGATATATAGTCTTATATAATCTATATCTGCTATCCAGCCATGTCCTGGAACTATGAAAGACTAATTTTACTATATACAAAACAATCAACAATTTTGAAAAAAAAAGGGAACTACTCAGTCCCAGAAATTGAACTTCAACATGAATGACTTTTTAAGGCATTTTTGCTAGCTCAACTTTTCCCTGGTCTGACCTATATTTTCACTCTTACTGTGTATGTGGGACAAGACAATTCACAAGACTCTGGACTACTCCAGATGTTGTGTACAAAAAGTTCTAATGGATAGGACACCACCAGGCTGAAGAGTCATCATCCTATTGCTTAAAGACCTTAAATTGAGAAACTTCTTAATATTAGGGTTATTTCCTAGACTATACTCCACCATCCTCCACCCACTACAATTACAGTTTTTCGTTATGAACTATCCCGCAGAACTCTCCTAATCTACAACTCTCTAAAAAGAAAATGTTTTAAAGTTTTCCTTTCAGGCAGAATGAAAGAATGTGAGAATCACTGGAACAGGAGAGACCAAACAATTGGGTCTCTGTGTCTTTGGGGGCCTAGGTCATCTAGGCTTTCATTCAACTGGCAAAGAATCTGGCAGTATGAATCAGTCTAGCAGCTGATAGAATGATGAAGAAGGGCTGCCCAGGCTAAGGGCAATTCAATGAAGCTTTCAGCTACTTAACATATGTGTTATGAGCTTTATTTAAATTTGATGAGAAGACCACAAACAGTTCTTTCAAGCTTTTAAATCTCTCGAGAGAAGAAAAGGGAAGCTATGAGAAATAAGTGGCATCTCATCACTGAAAGTGCTACACAGCTTTGTGCCACACAAAAGTTTTCCATATATAAACTTGTCTGTTCCCAAGAAGTCCCTGCCTAGATGAACAGCAAAATGCAGCCCAGGGTAGGTTGAAGGTACTGTAGGAGAAACACAGCATGGAGCTCTTAATTTTAAGCAAAAACAAATCACAAAAAGTTATTGTCATTTTACCAATAATTCCAACTCCATTATAAACTCTATAACCAGAGAGACTTGACTTCCCTAGGCAATCAATGAAAGAAGTTATCAAGTAATAAGATATATTAACTGTGGAACCAAGGAAGTCATAATCAGCTCAAAAATTAGGTAACTGGAAGTTGGTTGTATCTACCATTCTAAGGTGACAGTATCAGACACTGGAATAGAGAAAGCACATACAAAGGACATCTCTCCTACATCCTACATCCTTCTCCATACAGCAGTCATGGAGCCTTTTAATAAGAAAGTCAAAGCATAATACTCATAAAGCCCTCTATTGTGGGCTGAATTGTGTCACTCAAAAAGAAATGTTAAAGTTCTAACTCCTGGTACCTGTGAATGTGCCCTTATTTAGAAAGAACAACTCTGGAGATATAATTAAGATGAGGTCATACTGCGTTATGGTGGGCCCTAAATTCAACAACTGGTGTCCTTATAGGAAGGCCATGTACAGACACAGACACACAGGAGAAAGCCTCCCCATGCAATAAAGCAGAGTGAAGTCAGGTATACCACAAGCCAAAGTATACCAAGGAGTGTCAATAACTACCAGAAGCTAGAATTGGCAAGGAAAAAATTCCTAGAACCTTCCAAGGGAGTATGGCTCTGCCAACACCTTGGTTTCAGACTTCTAGTTTTGATTTCAGTGCTCCAGAACTGTGATAAAATAAATTTCTGTTGAGTTAAGCCACTGCAGTCCTAGGGAGTTAATATACCTTCCAGTGGCTTTCCATCTCACTCAGAAAACCAAAATCATCATTACAGTATGTTCTGCATCTCCTCTTACCTCCCTTACTTCAGTCCCACTGTTGCCTGCCTAGTCACTCTATTTTAGCTGTACAGGCCTCTGCTGTCCTCAAACATGCCAAGAACCTTCCCAAACCCAAGAGCCTCACACAGCCTATTGCAGGTTGGTATTATCTGAGATCTTTATAGATGCCATTCCTTCTGCCAACAGGGCTCTTTTCCCAGGAATTCACAAGTCTTGCTCCCTTAATCCTCCTCTTCTAGATCTCAGTTCGAGTCACAAAATCAGTCATGTTTCCCCTAACTGCTTTTCAGCATTCCCTCTCACCACCCCATATTCCCTAATTCCTCTTTTTCCTACTTTACTGTTTTCCACAGAACTTAACTCAAGCTAACATATATAGAGATTTTGCTTGAATATGTATCTTTTTTGTTTATCTGTTAAAGGAGTCATTTCCCTCCAAAATGTTAGCTCAATGAGAGCAAGATTGCACTGCTGAATCACAATACACTCTATTTACTAAATGAACAAGTAAATGTGATTAGGATAAGTGAAATTTTATGTAAAACTGTATGTGTGACAAAAATATAAGGTTTCTATTAAGTAGGACAGCAGAAGCTTTTGTTGATGAAGGACAGGCTCAAGGTTGGACTCCGAAGAACTAAGAGAAAAATCTATGTGCCAGGTTTTCTTAAGTAGAATAGGAAGAGAGAAAAAATTTTGAAACAGCTTTTTAGTTTTAAGATTCCTCTCTATCAAAAAAAAAAAAAAACCAACTCTTATCTATAATTTTGGTCACCACCCTAGTAGAAAGCAACTTAGCCTGAGGAATTTGTGAAACCAGATATAAATATAAGTCCAGCAATGTATTACTACACACATTTTTTTTGTTTTTTAGGGGCTGTGAATAAGGGCCCAGCAGACATGTTTGATAATAGCAATCTCATACCATAAATGCACAAACTCTAGACAGGAGAAAAAACAAAGTCTCTGATCACCAAATGATCAAAATGTTTACAAAACAAAAATAAAGAGACTTCCAAATACACCAGGAGTTTTTAAAACAGCTCTTTTTGAGCAAGGAGAAAATCCAAACTCTTTTAAGTGGTCCTAAATTAACATTCTGCCCCTGCCACTTCTTTCATGTATACTTTTTTTTTAATACTTATTTTTTAGTTGGACACAATACCTTTATTTATTTATTTTTATGTGGTGCTGAGGATCAAACTCAGGGCCTCACATGTACTAGCACTCTACCACTGAGCCACAACCCAGCCCCTCATGTATACTTTTATAAACTTTAAAATGAAAGCAGCAGAAAATAAAAGTTTTTCTTTACCTTGGGTTTTGGTCCCAGATCCAGACAACCCTAGTGATGAATCACAGGATTCCTTGAGGGGTGATCTGATTGGAGTTTCAGCTTCAGGGGTCTCAAAATTACCTTCAGAATCCGAGCTGCCAAGGGGGAAAAATGAGGAATTACCACTTTCAACGGTATTCTCCACACCCTTTAAAATTTACATATCCACAAAGGTTAAAGTTCATCCTTTTTTTTCCCCTAACTTTACCACCAATTGATCCTCAGCCATAGGTTGGCCTGTGGGTTTTTAAGCAGTACCCTCTTGGATTTCTCTGTCTGGCATCCTTTCTCCCTGAAATCTCCATCTTCTGAAGCTTTTCTCCCTCAGCATTTGTGAAGTCATCTTTCCCTCTCACACAGGGGGGGGGGAAAGTGCTTTCCAACAGCCTCCTTTTCTCACAAGATACCTCTTACAGGAACCTAGAGACCTAAAAAAACACCGTCTCCAACCCAAAATTATGCCAATTCTACTCATGCATTTTTCCTTGGTAGGCCTCTACCTGTCTAGAACTCACTCGACTCAAGATTAAGAATGCTGTCACCTGCCTTCCGCAATCACACGGTGACAGCTCGGCAGAGACCACCATTTCTCACCAGCTGCCAAGGGCCTGTCATCACGCGACCTTCGTTTACCATGGCTGCATTTGGGGGACACAATTAGGCCCCAGGAGGGGGAGGGAGTGACTTCTGCCCCACAGGAAGGGTTGTAAATGCCACCTAGAGTGATCAATGACACTAGCCCTGTATGTGTGTGTGTGTCTGGGTGTAGGAGAGGGGGCGGGGGGCGGGGGGCGGGGGGAGCGGATTGAAGCTTAGAGAAAGTGACCCAGGCAAACGGGGATGCGGAGAGACTGCAGATTCTGCGTGGGGTTCAGAAAGCTCACAGCGAAACGGGGGAAAGAAAACACACGGGAAAACAGGACATCCCGAACTTTCGAATACACCACGGAGACCTGGTTACGGGCAGGGACGTAGCATTGCCATGAATGTGGTTATGCGGGTGGGCGGCCACACACACGCACACAGAACGAGCCGCAGATGGATGGAAGGATGGATGGATGGATGGATGGCAGGCAGCACGTTTGCATCTCGGCAGGGATCCTGTGTACTTGCCTGAAACTCAAGGATTTGGTCTCGGCTTGCGAGTCCTCCTCCTCGGGGTCGCCCTCGGGCCCTCCGGCCTCGTCCTCTCCGGCGGCCCCGCCGCGCACCGCAGACCACGTCCATTTCGCCCACTGCACGGGGGACAGGATCTGCCAAGGGCTGAAGGCCATGAGCACGGATCCTCGGGCTCCAGTTCCTAGGGGTAGGGGAATGGGGAGAGCCTTTTTTCCTTTTCAAAATGGAGGGAACCGGTGACAGGCGCCTGTAAGCGTTGCCGGCGGAGGCGCGGATGTGGTTCAAGGAGCGCCGTCGGGGGCCCGGGTGGAGCGCTTCCTCTCAGGCGGCAGGCAGCGCCGCTCCTCCTCGTCCTCCTTCCCACTCGCTGCGGCCAGGGTGGCCCCCGCGCCGGGCTCCTCTCGCCGGGAAGATGCCTCTCCTGGGGCCTCCTCAGGGGCCCGGCCCGCAGCGTTCCGCGGCTCGGGGTCGCAGGGTCTCGGGCTCCCGCCTCCTAGCCAGCCCGGCGCGCATCAGCTGCCGCGGGAGCCGCGCCCCAGGAGCCGCCCCCTCGGACCGTACTACTCGCGCCGCGCGGGCGGGGGCGGCGGCGGCGCCAGGCCTTTGAAGTCGGCGGCGCGCGCACCGGATTCCCCCGCCGCGGCGCCACGCTGGTTGCGCCTGGACTTCGGTCAGGGGGCTTCCCGGCCACGCCTCAGGCCAAGCGGCTAGGACCCCGGCAGCCCGGGCCACGAGTCTACGTCAGGAGCACGGAAGATCCGTTTTCTGAGTTCGTGTACGCTGCACTTTTCCTCCTTCCCTTATGTTTTCATTTTGCTTCTGGAACTTCATGGCGTGAATGACATTGGACCGCACAGAAGTTAAGCCCCATATTAAAAAAAAAAAAAAAAAAAAAAAAAAAAAAAAAAACCCACTTCGAGACCGCTGTAGACTGATGTTTTTCCCTCCCTGATACTGACAGCGTGGAAGATTTCAACCTGATCATCTTCATCCCAGTCACTTCCCAGATTTGGAAATCCCTCAGCAACGACACAACAGTGGCCAAGGACAAGAATTTAAGATGCCTACCCCTCCCCAAACCGCACTAGTGAACGCTCTGAAGTGGCCAGGTCTTGGCTAAAGGATGCAAAATTGCCCCGTGACGTTACAGCCCCATGGCTTTCCCATTCTCCTTTTTGAGGCTCGCTTTTCATAACTTTCAAATTTTTGATTTCTGACATCGTTTGTCATCAGTTAAGCCAACAGGCATGGTGACAGCAGCCTTCGAAATAAAACATCTTTATGTTTGAAGGCAAAGGGAAATAGCAGATTTTCTTCACTTTCCCTGGAAGGGATTTCATTTCGGGATTGCTCTTCAAAATCATCAGTGCACACACTTCCAAATGAATCAGCTGCTTCAAATGATGTCCTTGCCTGGATAAGGTTGTTTCTTATACTCGTGTCATTTCCCAGAATTGCAGTGAATCTGTGAAGTGCCTACAGTTTCCCACAGAGAAAGCAGCTCCAAAATTTGGGGACAAGGTCACAGTGAAACTTGCAAAAAGACTGGCCATCTCCCCTGAAAGGGTTTGGCACATATACTGCTGACGAATCGTGACTGTCACACATTCAGTAACGAAACAAGCAAAACTACAAGATAAGGCTTGGCAGGTAGTCCTAACACTGGAAGTGTGGGGAAGGGGAGGGGAGGGGAGTATCTTGAAAAAAGGTGGGCTGAGGAATCCGGATGCTTTAGCATTCGTTACAGTGCCTTTTCTTCAGAGATAAACACAACTACCATGAATGTTCTACGGACTACAAAGAAGTGAAGTACATTTTTTTAAGGTCCACATGAAATATATCCAACTGCTTGTATCTCTGGTTTTATGCTCAAAAGTAAACCTTCAGATTATATGTCGCTTAGGTTCCTGGATTTGTTTTTATTGCCTGGAAATATTAACCTATGTAAATCAGTATGTGGCAAACTTTAGGTTTAGGTTCATTCTTCTCCCTGAGTAGTTCTAGAATCTGTTCCCCTCTGTGCCCTGTTGTGATTTACAGTTCTTGCTTCACATTTTTCATAGACTGCCTCTTTCCAGTGGCTTCTTCCTTGTGAGGGCTTTTCTCACTGGTCAGCCCTGGTCTGGCTGATCTGTGATCCTCCTCTAATCTTGCTGTTCCTGTTCCCCCAGTTCCTGTCCATTTTCCTAGCCACAGTCAGCAGACCACTGGTTCTGAACCTTCAATATGTCCAAGAATCACCTGGGAGTGCTTCTTAAAAAACACAAATCTGAGTTGCCAGCAGGATCTGGAGAACTGTTTACTAAATGTCCTTGAGGGATTGTTGTTACAAGGTCAATTTTGGAAACAATTCCTATCTTGAACTAATTGCCACTTCCGGAACAATTTCCGGCTGCCTCGGAGATTTGCACATTTTTAGGCTGCACCTCTTCTCCTATCCCCACCCCCAAGCTCCCAGGCCTTGACTGTTCAAATTTCTTTCATCACCTAGCTCAAGGGTATACTCTAAGAAAGCAGGCTGGTTTCTTCCTGCCTTCTATCCTCTGAACATTCATATAAACCATTACTGTGGCCCTTAGCCACAGAAACTTGTTTTTGTTTTGTAGAACTGGAGGTTGAACCTCATGCATGCTAGTCAAGTGCTCTACCATTGGAACTACATCTCCTCAGCCATTATTTTGAGACAGGATTTCCCTAAATTGACTAATCTGGCCTTGAATTTGGATCTTCCTGCCTCAGTCTCCTGAATAGCTGGGATTACTGCAATGCACCACCACACCCAGCTTTTAGATAGCTTTGAACATGAAAGGGAGCCTTCTTAATAGTGATGCCAGAATGCCAGGCATAAACCAAGACTGCCTCAGACTGTAAAGTCATGCTACATTTAGATGATACATGCAACATACTTATTTACATGTCTATTCCACTTCTGGACAAGATTCTAAAGATCATAGACATATTTATGATGCATTTTTTGTTTCTCAGATATTAAGCCAAGGCTATTCACTGAATAGGTGTTCAATAAATTAATATTCTAGTTGACAATTAGTCCTTATGTATTTAGCTAAGATGACCACACTTCTTAAAACCTGGCTCCTCCTAGGGAAATCAAATTTTGCCCAATGAAGAACAGAACCCAGGTCCAATGATAGCCCCAGTAAGATAAAACCCAACCGATACAGCATCTTTTGAAACTACAAAATCAAATGCACAGGTTTCTAAAAAATCAGCCCTCTGCAAGTTCTTGGACTTAGTGTGAACATCAAGAAAGTAACTTACTCAATTGTTACTGAATGGATTTTATTTTCCATAAGTATGATAATGAGGCTGATGTATCAGTTTTCCTGTAATTCTGGAAAAGAATGGGCAATGTTTGACAACAGCTATCCTAACCAAGATAAATCTAATTTTACTGCTTCAACTCAGCTCTGCTGAGCAGGATGTCAGCAGATACATAAGCAAGTAACCAAATGAACCGGATTTGTTTTGGAAATGACCTTAAGCATATCTCTCCTCTTCTCTTCTCACCCTTCCCAGAAGCTCTTGATGAATACACCATGAAAATCTAAGATGTTGAAAAACCAGCCTCTACCTCAGAGCAAAGCCTGTCCAAGGAAGGGACATCACCTTTGTCCTTGGAAAAACCCACAGAGCACTCCTAGGCACATTCCCACCCTGCTAAGTTGTTTATCTACAAATGACAGGAGAGATCTGCTGTGCCAGGTGTCTAGGTGGGGATCCATAGCAACCCCCTAGCAGCCACCAATCAGCATGAGACAGGGAAATACCTGGGATGCCAGATGACCCTCCCAGTAGTTTATGGTAGTTGATAACATGATAGGAAATCATGTAGTTCAGCATGTACACCCCTCTTGGCTTAAACCAATCAGTTCAAATGAATACCCCTTTTGTACTGACCAATCACCCCTACCCAACTTGTTCCCGCCAGTGAATGTGCTAATCATGTTTTAGAGTTGTTATTTGATTTTCCTGCGGTGTGTGATGATTTGCTAAAAGATGCTATGATGTATGTGAAGTCCCTGCCTTCTCCAAAGAATGTATAAAACTGCTGCAAACCCTGAGCTCGGGGCCTCTCAGCGTCACCAGTTGCTGTGTGCATGCAGAGGACCGAGCTAGCTGGCAATAAACAACCTCTTTGCTGTTTACATCGATCTCGGTCTCTGGTGGTCTTTTGGGGGTCCCGAATTTGAGCATAACATTGTAACTCCCTGGAGACAAGGGTGTAGCTTGGTATGTGCTTGGTATTCAATTCCAAGCACCAAAAATAAATAAACAAAAGAATAGAATGTAATTTACTTGAAAATTTTACAAATGGTGGGCAGGCCGGGTACACACCTTGTAGCTAATCAGTGCTCCAGAGGGTTTGCAAAATTGGTCTTTTGGGTAGAAATTAAATAAACCCTATGAGTAAGCAAACCCAAACTGCTGACAAGGACTCTCCTTGACCTAACTCTAGTGAGACTCCACTAAACACTCCATGCCTTAACTTTGAGCTTTAGTTTTTGTCTGTGTAGGGTCTAGTTTTGTTAAGAATCCTGCTGGGTCACTTTCATGAGAATCCCCACCCTCATTCTCTTACCCTGGCCTGCCTTCAGCAAGAATCCTGTCAGGTTGGTTTAGCCAGAATCCTCCTGTACTCATGAAGCTTCCTCTTAGTAGGAAGTAGTTTTCCTTCTTCCCCACCCACAGATCCCTAGACATAAACCCCCACTTGTCCTTATATTTGGGGTTAAGCCCCATCTCTCTCTTTCTCTGCTACTGAAAAATGCTGAGGCAGTAGTCCTTTTTCAAATGAAGTCTTCCCTATTGAACAAGTGCCATGACAAAATTGTCTTTGACAAGGCAGGCCATTATTTAGCTACTGGGAGAATGCTTGTGGGGAAGGGGCAGGAAAGCAAGGGGCAAAGGCAGGGCAGGGCTTACCTCTGAATGATCCCTTAGACCTGTTAAGGAGTTAGAACTTGCTTCTGGAGTAGGGGGAGCAAACACCAGTGCCTACTTAGCTTCTGGAAGAGAATGAAAAGGCCCAGGTGTTAGTGGTAGCTCAAGAATAGTCCTACCCAGCTGGGCCTGTAATCCCAGCAACTGGGGAGGCTGAGGCAGGAGCATACCAAGTTTAAGACCAGCCTCAGCAAGTTAACAAGACCCTATCTCAAAAAAGGAGTAAGGATGTAGCTCAGTGTCCCTGCGTTCAATCCCCAGTACCAACAATCAATCAAAATAGGAACAACCCTACCCAGTTCTTGCAGCCCGGGACCACCATCTAACAATCTTCCATGCAAAACTGAAATACTGCATTTTATAAGAGATCTTCCAATATTATAAATGCTCTTCCTAATTTAAAATGTTTTAAACTTTGTGGAGCTGTAGGGCAAGCCAAATCTATGTGTGTACCTTCTCGGCCCATGGAACAATAAAGCAACATTTCTGCTTAGATCACAGATAATTCTGGCAACAACTTGGGGGCTCGGATCAAAGGAGTCAAGACTAGGAGACCTGTGAACT